ATTTTGACCGTTTTCTTGAATAAAGAAATGTATGAAGAAACAGTGAGCAAAAATAGATAGGCAAATAAGATCAACAAATAAGTTAACATACTATTTACCTAATTGGCAACCAACTCCTTATAGCATTGATTATCCTGAAATCATAATCTTCATCCTTTCCGCGTTTCATTATCTATTATCTTAAGAACTATAACAGATAAAGAGGAACTTTCTTAAAACAGATCAACAACATAGAGTTACAAAAAACGTTGCAGAGATACAAATAAGTTGATGACATAACTTGAATTGCCAATTTACGTCCTTCGTGTGTAGTATTACCTGCAATAACCATTTGTACCAATTTATGCGATTGTTTGCCATTCTTGAAAACTATTATAGATTAGAAGCAGTGGTTCTCTTTATCTGCGTGGACAACAACATATTTGTAATGGAGGTAGGACAGGTGCTTTGCAGCATTTGGGTCTTTAAAGATTGATATAGCATGTATATTCATTGACCCATTTAGTTTTTTATTTGATTTGTATCAACAACCTCACAGCCTTTATTCATGTGGACAGAGTATCTACGTCTTCTTTCTCGCGTTTAACCCATTTCATGACACAAAATTCGACTGAAACGAGATACCACCAACCATGGATAAATGGAGAGGTGAAACGCAAAACAAAAAAAAAGAAGAAAGCATACAAAAAGGCAAACAAAACTAAATCAGCTAAAGATCTATAGTGTTACAAAAAAATAAAGGCAAAAGAAAGAAACCAATGTAAGAAGGCATATTTCACCTATGTGCATGACATCATAAGACCAGAACAAAAGACATATCCTAAAATATTCTGGAGTAACATCAAAAGCAAGAGATGTTATAATGGAGGAGTCGCACCACTCAAGAACAAAAATGACCTTACCTTCTTAGACAACACTACGAAAGCTACTATAAATGGGGAACTAGCACCGATGCTTTCAGGAGGTTTAGACTTGAAGTCGTCGATATTGATATCCGCAACACATGTTTGTAATTGAAGATTTTATTTGCAAATGGTTTAATCTGCCTGAACATTTTTTGTAATTAATTAGATGCTTCTACTTATTATCTTTTTGACAAAATTACTTAATATAACTCAGGGTCAAACGTCAAGGTCATCAGGTCCATTCGGTTGTGTCAATATTCATACAAACGATTTTCTAAATCTGGCATTGCTGTTTTCTTTTTAAATCATCAAATTGCTTGAAATAATTAAGAGAAACCGTGATATATAATCTAGTTTTGCTTCAGAATGGCTGCAAAGAAGTTGGGTTTTTTTTCAGTGCCAAACTTTCTAAAATGTACGGGGAAACCCATTAACTTAGGCTAAGTTTGAGGAAATTTGATGACCATACGTGCTAACAACACACCCCCCCCCCCTTCCTCTTTATATAAAATGGTTGATGGTTACAGAGAATCGGTCTTAACATGTACTCAGATTCAATGTTCAGCGAAAAAGTGTTCTCGTGTGTATGCAAGTTTGTCTTTTCTCCGGTTACATCTAGGTAAAAGACAGATCTGATATTTACTATGAGTGGACACTATTATTGGGGATTTGTGTATAAATCATCATATAGCAAATAAGACACAAACCAAACATTATCTTACCTCCTATAGATTTCTGGGGATATGATTGGTTAAAGGACTACACGTGGTGACTACATATATTTGATAAAGGGTGTCCTAACAAATATGGGGTAAGTTACCTTATGGTGTTAGTAAGGAGTTACTTCCCTTTCAAAACAAAAAAGAAATCTGAAAGGTTTCAACAGACGAAGAAATTGATAATGAACGATTGAAATAAACTCATAAAACAAATTTAAAGCTAACAAGTTGTTATTGTTGGCATTTAGTTTTTTGTATAGAAAAATGGAAGTAGATTCTTGATACTAAGTATTGAAGACTTAATCACTTTGATAGGCCGCTAGTCTTAATACCACATGTGAAGATAGTCGGTAAGATAAATTCGTTACACGGTGTGATAGTGACCTAATACGATATATATGGGGTCAGTAAATTCCATATGGGGATTCGAGCTTTTCTCTCACCCCATATGGATTTTACTGACCCCATCTATATCGTATTAGGTCACTAACACACCTTGTAACTAATATTATAGTAATTACATATAGCAAAGTATTTAACACCAACGGTTGGGAATTTTGACTTCGTGCTGTTAAATTTGATGGTTTAGGTTGTTGTTATTTGTCTCACTGTCACGCTATGTCTATATAGCGGTGGGTGTAAACTTTGAATGATACGATATGATTGGAATAATGCCCAAATTATACTAGACCGACAAGTCGAGCTGCATCTCTCACGTTTGTTCTCAAAAGGTATAAATGTACGCAGGAGACATATTACTGTACCCGCACATATTATTCTGAATCAGAGCCATATCAAAAAGATAAAATTTGGAATGATTGTCCATGAGACAACTATCCACCAGATACCAAATGATGTAGATGTAAACAACTATAGGTCACTGCACGGCCTTCAACAATGAGCAAAACCCTAGTAAGCTATAAAAGTCCGTGACATAACTAAATGTAAAACAATCCAAGCCAGAAAACCAACCACCTGATTTATGTAATAAACAATAAACGAGAAACAAATATGATAGACAACAACCGGCGACAACCACTTAATCATAGGTTCCCGACTTGGTACAGGAACATAACGAAGTTGGCCTGGTTAAACATTCTTGCGAGCGCTCACCAGATAGTTTTTGCTGGTATTCCATGGTACTGCATTCTTCACGTATCAAAATCCAATTCATATCTTGATATTTTCCTCGATATTAACACAGATGAACAGACTTCAAACTATCATATATGACAAACATGATGATTTCAACTTCCCAATTGTCTACTTCCAATTTCTCAGCAGTAACATCGTATAACGTTTACATTATCTTAATTGATACTTTACCCTCGTGCATGTTCACACTATCCGGAGTTTATTAGGAGGGATGTGCTCCTTACCCTAAAACTGTTCCAACAATCTTATAAAGAAGAACGAATGATATCAAGAATACTTATAAATTTACGGTTGATTGCCCGATACGAAATGTCTGTATCTCAACTCACTTTCGACATGTTTTCGCGGTCTTAGATCTTAAGATAACAGAATAATCTGTTATTTTACAGATTGTGACATTTTGACTGAGTTTTGATTTGCATGGGATATGATGCCTGCATAGCAGAGACGCTCACCCTGTCGATGCATGTGAATCATGGGATTCCCTCAGTTTTTGTTTGTTACTATTATTTGTATTCTTAATCGATTCATGAAATTTGAATATCGGTAAACTACTGTTCATTTAACTTATTAAGTAATCACATGCTTAAACCAATTAAAAGTATTTAATTTGTTAAAGAAATGCGGTTTTCTGATGATTTTGTATGGTCATGTATTGCCTTTCGTGATCAAAATAATGCATTGCCTGATCTAGTATGGTTATAATGAATAAATCCTACTTTTTCTTAAATAATCGTAACCTTTTCAATGAAAATCAAACAAAAAGACTTAACTGTAGTATCTGACACACCAACGATTTAGTTTCTATGTAGTATGACATATTGAAATGTAACCATAATATATTGGGGAAAAAAAGTGATTGTTTCCAGCCGGTCTTCATGTGTTTTTTTTTTTTTTAAACAAAATGCATTTTTCGTTGCCTTAGTGTGCAATACTACTGTGAAATAATCATTTTGACAGACATAGTTGATTTTTTCCTGGTCTGTTCCGGCTTTTGATAACACAACCAGTTATTTTCTCATCAATTTTAGAAAAAAGTAAAATAACAAAAATACCGAACTCCAAGGAAAATTTAAATCGGAAAGTCTTTTATCAAATGACAAAATCAAAAGCTCAAAAACATCAAACGAATGGAAAACAACTGTCATATTCCTGACTTGGTACAGGCATTTCCTCATGTAGAAAATGGTGGATTAAACCTGGTTTTATAGCTAGCTAAACCTCTCAATTGTATGACAGTCGCATAACATTCCATTATATTGACAACAATTTGTGAAAGAAAGTTAAATTGAATTTTCTCGATATCGATTGAGGGCCGTGATTCAATTCTTATTACATGTATATCAGTTGCATGTTTTTAAGGTCTTTAACACAAGACAAGATAGTTTAAATAAGGATAAATGAAACACAAAAAGTAACATCATAAGTGCGATCTATATATGTCATGACTACTTTATTTACGCATATTGTGTACACAGAAATCAAATATGTTCCGATTTTCACTGGTTCGTTGCCTTTGTTAACATTCCATGTGATAAATTACCATCATCCACCCCACAACCTCTGCTTACCTATTGGAATTATTCAAATGCTACTTTTTGTCTGTAAATTTCTAGCTTGTGAAATCATGTAATTGTGCAAATGCTTAAATTGCAACTCCATCACGTGCAATTCTTATATGATTTTGTCTGTTCTGTTAAAATCCTTATTGTTAATGAGTTCTCTTACATTTTATTTTGGCTTGCCTAACTTTGATATCGAACATTTCTGACGAAGGTTCTTCAAAAAACATAAACAGGTGTCTTGCTCACATATACCACCATACGTTTTTAAATGAACAAATATCTTTATGTAATTATAAGGATTCGATCAGAATCAACATTTTACACCCTAATATAATGACAACGCATCTTTCTTAAAGTTGAAGACAGAAAACAAGTACTAGTAATTGAAAAAAAATAAATCAAAATCACGATTATCACTACTGTGATAATATTAAACTATTTCCGAACGGCCAAAAATTAGTCTTTGTTTACCATCTCTTCTTTACAATGCATGGTACGCGTATCTGAACACATGATATTTTACTTAAGAGAAACAGAAATGTCTGTATGGTCATCATGAGAGTGAATAATACAGTAAGATCGTACTTCATAAAACAATATAGGATGTAAATGATCCATGGATATGTTAAAAATAATTAAACAATAATTAAATAATAATTAAATAATAATTTAATAATAAGTAATAATTAATAATTAATAATAAGTAATAATTAAATAATAACTTAATAATAAGTTTAAACTTACGAAAAAAGTAAAATCAGAAAAATACTGAACTCCGAGGAAAATTCAAAAAGGAAAGTCCTTAATCAAATGGCAAAATCAAAAAGCGCAATAACATAAGATGTAAAACAACTGTGAGAGTAGATGTAGAAAGAATTCTTTTGTAATTTGGATTCTTTCATCTCGTTCATTTAAGATTTGTTTCAAATACTTATGCATCTTTTCGTATATTCTGTAATCGTTCAAGAATATTTCTAGCCGTCGGCCGATCGACTGGATCTTTTCTCCAACAGTGTTGTATTAATACTTTTAATTTGTTGATAATCTTCCCGTCAAAATTAGGTCTTCTTCCTTCAAGGATGATGTAAGATAACTGTTCGTAGGATTCAAGAGATGATTCATTGTCGTCATTTAGAGCAGAACTACGGTACCAAGATTCCCACAGTACAATTCCAAACCTAAATACGTCTGATTCTCTACCATAAAATAAAGATCGTAACAAATCTGGTGCTTTGATTACTGCTATGCCATGAATTGGACCCTTTAACATGGGTCGATGAATGCCAGCACCGGCTAATCTTGCAATGCCATCTTTCATCTGCAATTAATAAAAGACACGGATAAGCTTTGATTTACTAAAGAAACTGTAAAAAAAAACATTTGTGAAATTTGCTAAAAAAAAACAAATGTGTACTGTCATATTGAGAGTCAATTAGTAAAAATAATAAATTTTGTTGTTATCCAAATTCCTTTCATTTACTGAACAGTCTTTCAATTTTCTATGACTTGCAGTAAGCAGTTTTCCTAAATTCTAAATAACTTTATAAACTATAATATGCTTTAATTTTGCGAGCATGACACAAGTAATCGACATCTGTCCAATCAACAATACTTAAGAATGTTTATGGACTAACCAAAATATTAGAAGGTTTGACATTTCCATGGATTAGTCCATGTTCGTGAAGGTAAGTCAGTCCCTCTAAACACTGACACAAATAAAGATGAATACATCTCCACGGCTCAGCTAGTTTTGTACTATGAAAAATGGCGGTCTCTAAACTTTTATCACATTTTTCTGTGTATATTTCCAGAATGTGCTCTCGTTTTCCAGTTGCGAGTGTTATTCCAAGAACATCTAAAATGTTTTTATGCTTGATGTTTCTACAAAGCAAAGAATATCATTATTCCGTATAGTTATTTTTTTCATGTGTGAATCATTTATATTCTGAAATTTTGACCATTATTATTGACTCTAAAGACATTCTACAATAAACAACATTTGAATCAATTATACCGTCACATCATGTATAAAGGTTCAAAATGAACTGATTATGTCGTCATTGTTCTTTATTTTTTCTTTTCCAACCAAACATGTTTAAGATACGATCAAGACAAACTTATCAATCCTTTAAATAATCTTATTCTAAAAGTTTACCAATTCATCACTTTAATCAGATCTTCGAATATTGTTTTTATTGGTATAAATATAGATTTTGTTATCAGTAAATTAAAACCGTACTAAATATTATTGTTATATATACACATATGCACATTCACGGTTCTATGTCGATACATATATTTTGGCATTGCAGAAGGTCATGTTTTTCTCTGATTATTGATCACGTCTTTACACTAAATCCATTGGATTTTGGATGTGTACTGATTGATATTTTAGTCTTAGATACATGATTTTTTATTACTGAAAAAAATGTGCGCACGATCAACGCTTTTACAATCCTATAAAATTATAAACATTTTAATACAACATTTTGTCGTATATTTGGTTACATATGACATCTTATTCTTATAATAACATTTTATTCTACAACCATACAATTAAGAGATAAAATCAAGATGCTTTTTTCTAGGCATTGTTTTAACATTGTCATGGATAGCACAAGCCGTCATAGATTTTGCATTTCATACGGAAATAAAATTTTATATTGGAGCGCTTAACGATTGTTGTCAGCCAATCAAAATTAAGGATTCTAATGAAACATACATATGATATAAATACCATTTGTTTTTATGATTTTATTATCTCATGTTTTTTCTACGTTAACTTAAAATAATCTTTTTTACCTTAATATCTGGATTTCACTCAATACTGAACAGTCTGAATTATTACTGTATGACCATTTCATTTGTTTTACTACTGTATCTTTCCATTCTCCATTTACAAACACTTCAAACTCATTTGGAAGGTCTTTCTTTCGAACGTATGATTGACTTAACTTAAACATATCAAAATATTCGATATAAATAAATAAAACACGGCCATAAGCTGATTTAAAGTCGCTATCCACTAAAATGCATTGTTTCCTTATTTCTATAGGTTGCCGTATGTCTTTTTTTATTCCTTTGATCAGTATTTCCCCAGCTGAAATTCGTCTCGGAACAGTAGAGTCACAGAATTGATCTATTTGGGTATTAATTTCATTTAAAAATTGTCCAAAAACTTTCTCCTTCAAAAATTGTACGGTAATTTCATCAAGCATTTTTTCTGCAATATTTTTGACGTATCCTTGTTTATTTTGCCTGTATTCTTTTACGCTTCTTTGGTTTGTTATCTTACCAACTGTGTAATATCCAATACCAATCGGTAAAGCAAATAATCCAACGACTACAGACAAAGGCACCCATATTGGAATTGTTGCAAGAATGGCGACTTTTTGTGAAGTAGATATACTTGTAAAACTTGATTTATCTCTGTCCGATTGTCGTGCTTTGGTCATACCTAGTTCACAAGTACTAAATGATCGTCCAAGAATTATTTCATCTATTTCAGTACAATCAGATTCAATTATAGAGCATTCTTTCTTAAACTGTTCTGCCATAAATTCAGAAAGTCCACAATTTTTAGATTCTTGAAGCCAGGTTTGTATTTGTCCAGCTATACATTGCTCCACTAAACGCATAACTTCCTTTTCAATCGTTTCAATGTCGTCCTTTTCCGGCAGAACTTCATCCGTCCATGAAAACAGTTTATTCCGTATATCCGGTAGATGTAAGCAGTGATTAAGCCGTTCTGAACTTTTCTGACATTGTTCTTTTGCTACAATTTTCAGTTTCGACTGAACCTGTTCAAACAAAAATGTATGTTCTATTTAAATAATCTCCAAACTGCATGGCTAGTGAAAATGAAATTTGAGAAAAATTTGAAGAAAATGAGACTAAAAATATTTTAAAAACCTATCAAAATATTTTCCTCGATAAAAAGAGGTACGGCTAAGATACCCTGAGTTTATTCATCCCCCGGTCCATTTTCAATAATCCTTTCAATCTAAAAAAAATATATCCAAACAAGTGATCAATTACATGAACCCTTCAAGATAGCCAATATTCGCAATATTGACAGATTTTGGCAAACGTCGCATATTTAAAAAAGAATATATATAAAAAGGACATTCTTAACCACTGTGAGTTAAACAAATACAGGGGAAATTGTCCCAAACCTTTTTGATCATATGATATAATGTTCCTAAATACCGTGTTTAATTTTGAAATTCGTTCCTTGATACATTTTTATACTTTATAACTTCCCCATAGCGAATGTAATACTGTCAAAGTAACGGTTTTTTTTGTTTTAATTACTCAACTCACTTACTTACAGCTTTGATGTTTTCTCTCACTTTCTGTATCCTTTTCATGACTTGTTTAGCCATCATTCGTTTTTCATCTTCAGTTCGCATTGCATTAGTTATCCGAGCTGCAAGTTTGAAGTTCAGTCTTTCTAGAAAATACCTCTGCCAACTACAACGTACAACAATACGGGGCTTATCTTTTGTGAAATGATATGAAGTTGCTAATGTAGGTTAAATAAAATGCTTATTGATGCAAACAATTTTCTTGTCAAGTCAAGATGTTTAATTAATTATCGTAGATATACACTGTATCTTCTAAATGTACGTCCAGCCAAATACATAAAAACAATTGTGAGAGATAAAACTGAAGAAGAAAAAACCCATATTTATAAATTTAATGGGGCATTCACAAAACCAACGATTAAAAAATAATTTAATTGTTTGCTTATGAAATATCTCTTGTTTATATATTTTTTAAAATACTCATCTCCTTCGACTTCAATCTGGACATCGTGGTACCAATAAAACATATCTAAATACTTGCGTTTCTGTAGTATGACTTACCTAACGTGTCGAAATATCTTTTCTTGGAGGCATGCGGGTATCATTTGATCTATTCCTTTAAGTAGAGCTTTGAAGTTATCAGAAATCGGTTGGCCATTCTTAGATCTTTGCATTTCCTTAGAATACCAAGACACAAAGTTATTGCCCCCAAAAATGAATATATTAAAATATACATGTACAAATAAATCAATGATTTTGGAAACTTATTTTATCGCTATTTTGCTTATTTTTGCTTCGATCTTTTTTTTTGTGATAATTTTTCTTATCAAGCTTCTCGCTTTAGAAAGAAAATTATCGTCAGAAACTAAGAGCACACGTGCCGTTTTCAATTTAAACATTATATAATGACGTCATAGGCAAAATAGCGATAAAAAGATTACCAATGGTCTTTCAAACTCGATGATTTTTCTCGGCCACATCTCATCTCAGGGCTTTCGCCCTGAGAAGAGATTGTAGCTGAGAAACAGCCTCTCGTTTGAAAAACTATTGATAATCTATAAATCACACACCAGACCTCTTGGGATTATATTTGTAACTAGGGTTGAAACAGATGTGATATCAAAAAACCATACCTTTTATACGTCTTATACACTTTATCATATATACCTCAAGTAGATTAAACCGCAATACAGATTAGGGCTTTGATAAAGCTTTATAGGAAGCACACCACTAATTCATGACCCCATTGCTTTCTATGTTAAATTCGTCAATTTGAAGCAGCCACAGTTCTTTTGTCTCAAGTCTTAATAAAGTCAGAATCATTGCATGTCAAATCAACACATCATGGCGTTTTGTATTGAAAAAATCAACGTACCTTTAATTGCATATAAGAGAAAACTAGTTCCCGGTACTTCGGATGTACCAAAACAGGTACTTCAGATCTGACAAACAGGCAAAATATACCCTCCTTTTTAAATTTCATGCATTTTGTTTTATTATTCAAAATTATAAGTAAAAAAATGTTCTACAGTTATCACACCAGTCATTCAATACCACAGTTACCAAAATATTCTACACATTTTGAAAGTTACACGCATGCGTAGGAACTATTTCGTGTTAAATATGTACTATTTTCTGGGATTAGCTTTCTGACTGGGCCCGAATAACTGTTAAATTACATACCTTTTTTCTTCACTCCAAGATTTGTTTTCACACGGTTAACACTTAGTTATTTTTATATTGTTTTTGAATTTTGAGTTGAAGCGTCGATCAACAATTGCGATAGTTTAGAAAACATTTTTATATATTTATTTTTGAATTTCGAGTTGAAGCGTCGATCAACAATTTCGATAGTTTAGAGAACATTTTTAAAATTTAGATAGATATTTCTTAATGTGATAGTTTTAGACTTTTACTTTACTATAGTTTTTTTGTGCTAATGTTTCGTTAAAATATGAGCGGTAGACCCAAAAGATCGGTTCCGCGACGGGATTATAAAAATCTAAACAGTTTTGGTACAACGGATCCTGTTGTTCAGTTTTCATTTCAGGAAAACATGGATGACGATTTGTTGGATTTGTCATTGACACCAGAGGAACAAGAAGAATTTGGTGAAGAGTTTGTTTCAAGTGCTGTTGGTCCGGATCAGTCTTCCGAAAATGAGGGAGAGGCCTCGGGTTCAAAAAACCTTGAACATATTAAAAACAAAGAAGAAGAGAAGACCGAAAAAAAATGATGATGATTTGGAGTTGAGGGTACAGCTATAGGAGAAAAAGAGGGATGACCTAAATAAGCAACAACTTAGAGAGCGTATTAAACAACTAGAGGAAGAAGTAGCTGTGATGTCGAGGCCTATTTCCGAGTCCAAAGAGACGAATGAAAAGAAAAAGAAACAGAAAAAGAAGTCAGGTGAGGTTATTAATCTCAAACTTGAAAAAGACAATGTCACTATAAAAGACCTAAGAAAATCTAAAAAGTTAAACAAAAAAGTTGATGAGCAGCTCAAATTTTTAGGTCTTGATTCAGGAGAGAGCGATGAAAATGGATTTTCTACTACAAAGTTTGTTTCATTAAGTAAAATGAATAAGTTAAGTAATAAAGGTTTTCCTGACTCTGATAAAGCTCATTCTCATTTCTCATAGCAGCCAGAAGGGAAAATCTTGTCTAAAGTCGGTGGATCAGAAGAAAAAAGATTATCACGCCTGTGTCTGATTCTGATTCATCTAGTAGCGATTCAGATTCTGATTCAGACTCTAGTTCTGTTACTAGTAGTGGTGATTCTTAAAAAAAACAAAAGTTACAAAAAGTGCAAAGAAGAAAAAATCAGGACTTGTCAGTAAATCTACGGATAAAGTTAAAAATCCTCAGTCTTTCCCACATAATTATTTGCAATTTGAATATGTTAATAAAGATCTAATATTCAAACAGCTGAATTTTAAAAAGTTTGTTGCAGGTGAAATAGAAATTATTTCAAATTTTTACTTTTGCAAAAACAAATCAGACAAGGAAGGTAGATTAAGACTTTTACAAAAAGTTTCTTATTTTTCATCTGTTTATCAATGGTCAGCTATTCTTGATTTTTATGCTGCGTGGTTACGACAGTTTGAAATTGGTAAGAAAACTTGGAATGATGACCCTCAAGTATTAGAGTCTGCTGTTTTAACCGAAATATTTTACCGCAAGAATTTAGGTCTAGTGCTAAAACTTCGTTGAAAAATCAATCATCTAAATCAACTACCTGGTTTTGTTACAAATATCAAAGAAGTAAATGTGAGGAAAAAACTTCCCCTCATTCTGCCACTATTCGTGGAATTGTCAGGACTGTTCATCACATTTGTGCCACTTGTTTGCAGAAAGATGGGACTAAACAAACTCATCCGGAATGTTCGGACAAATGTCCCAATAAAGAAAAATGACTAACTTGTGATCAAAGTAGTATTCCCTTGTTTGAAACTGACCTTGTTCCCGAAATACTCATTTTTGTCAATGCAATCATTAACAGAGCTGCCTTTTGGAAAACTAAGGTCCATTATAACCCTTTTTTCCTCCGAATCAACTTTTGGGAAGGAGTTTAGGCCTATTTTCCCGTTATTTCACAATACAGACCGATTACATTTAAATCATGCTGGAATTCAAAACTTTGTACATTTTATAGCCAATACATTGGCTCATCTGAGTTGAGAGGACACTCTACGTTTAATTCTGACCTCTTTTTATTCAGGGGGAGAGTTTTGTAGCAGATTTCTCTCTCTTAATTTTTCAGAAGGCTGACTTTAGCTTATCTCTAATTTTATCCTTTTTGGACGCTAGGGAGGCTTATTTGTTATCAGATTCTGTTTATATTAAATATAAGAGTGCACTCTTGGTTCATTTTTTGACACCTTCTTTTTTTGGCTGACCTTCGGTCTGGCGGGTTAATTTTATGTATTAACAATTTTTGAATTTCCATCTTGGTTATTCTTAAATTTGTTTATTGATTATTATTGAACTATTGTGTTGTGTGAATCCATTTCATTAGCCTAATAAATGTTTTTCTTATATTAATTATTTCATGTTTTTGAAAGTAATTTGGAAATTTTTATTTTAATAAAAATGATTAAGTAATTACTGAGAAAGAAATTTCCATTCTTGCTAGATTTAACTTTTTCACGGATTCATTATTGTTTTTTCTGCTCTTAATGAATTAAATTTGTTAAATTGCTACTTAATTTTCGTCATCCTAAGTTTGTCATAACTTTTCTTATTGGATTATCAGTTGAATTCTACTCACTTTCATTTACCTGTTAAATTACATACCCTTTTTCTTCACTCCAAGATTTGTTTTCACACGGTAAACACTTAGTTCTTTTTATATTGTTTTTGAATTTTGAGTTGAAGCGTCGATCAACAATTTCAATAGTTTAGAGAACATTTTTAACACGCCCACCCGTGCCCTATTTATAAATGGGTTTTACATTATATTTTTCTACTGGTCTTTAGGGTTAATTTTATGTATTAACAATTTTTGAATTTCCATCTTGGTTATTCTTAAATTTGTTTATTGATTATTATTGAACTATTGTGTTGTGTGAATCCATTTCATTAGCCTAATAAATGTTTTTCTTATATTAATTATTTCATGTTTTTGAAAGTAATTTGGAAATTTTTATTTTAATAAAAATGATTAAGTAATTACTGAGAAAGAAATTTCCATTCTTGCTAGATTTAACTTTTTCACGGATTCATTATTGTTTTTTCTGCTCTTAATGAATTAAATTTGTTAAATTGCTACTTAATTTTCGTCATCCTAAGTTTGTCATAACTTTTCTTATTGGATTACCATTTGAATTCTACTCACTTTCATTTACGTGTTAAATTACATACCCTTTTTCTTCACTCCAAGATTTGTTTTCACACGGTAAACACTTAGTTCTTTTTATATTGTTTTTGAATTTTGAGTTGAAGCGTCGATCAACAATTTCAATAGTTTAGAGAACATTTTTAACACGCCCACCCGCGCCCTATTTATAAATGGGTTTTACATTATATTTTTCTACTGGTCTTTAGGGTTAATTTTATGTATTAACAATTTTTTAATTTCCATCTTGGTTTTTCTAAAATTTGTTTATTGATTATTATTGAACTATTGTGTTGTGTGAATCCATTTCATTTGCCTAATAAATGTTTTTATTATATTAGTTGTTTCATGTTTTTAAAAGTAATTATCGGCTTCCATTAAAATTCAGATTTAATTTGCAAAAACTTTAATTGGAGTAAATAAAACAGCTGTCAATTTAGCAGTACTAGCTTAACTTGGTTCGTATCCAGTTTTATAGAGCTTTAAAACTGTCAATTGGCTTTTGGTTGCATGTGATAAAATCTGGTAATAATTAATTACTTAAAGATGTATATAGTTCAAACCTGCAATTAACCAATGGATTTGCAATAAAGATTGAACAGTTACTTTCTACATTAAATTTTTCACATGTTTGGGAAAATCAGGATACTATTTCAAAAAGGCGTTTATTGTACGCACTTCACGCCAAACTTAATGATAGATATCCTGAATTATTGGAAAGAAAATATTTTTTGTGATGATAAATCAATGAACGGTAATAAGCTCAGAACATATAGACAGCTTAAAGAAAATTACAAATTGGAAACCTATTTAATGTTATTTAATAAGCATTAACACAAAAGTAATAAGACATTTTGCCAAAATTCGCATAAGTAATAGTGTTCTTAAAATTAAACAAGTTCGACATACTAAAACTCCTATAGTAGAAAGAATTTGTCCCTTGTGTCTTTTAGAAGTAGAAAATGAATTTCATTTAACTATAAAATGTAGAAAATTAAATACAATTAGAGAACAATTATTTTCTAAAATTAGTGAAATAGTTCCCTCTTTTTTGAATATGACTAATGAAGCAAGATTTAAATTTTTGTATACGTATGGTGAGAATGATATAATTAGAATTATTGTAAAATTCATTAGTGATATGTACGATTCTAGAAATGCTTTATTGAGTAATAAATAACTTTGTAGTGCCACCTCCTCAGCAGAGATTAGATACATATATTTATTATATACTTAGTAGTAAATACAGATAAATTGTATGTACACATGTATAATACGGTCAACGGCAATCGTGCTGTATCAGCCATCCGTGATGGTATCGATATCAGTCACGGTTGCAAAGGCTTTATCACACCTTTAATCTGTATGACTTCACGTCATCAATATCAGTCACTGTTGCAAAGGCTTTATCAAACCTCTAATCTGTATAACGTCATGTCGCATAAAAACATCTACTAGAGGTATATAATAAAGTTTCTCTAATTCTTCGTCAATTTATCCCTTTCTGCACCCATTGTATAAAAAAAATTTAATCAACGTGTGGTTCGTTTGATCTCAGTTCTTCATTGGTTAAAATCCGATTATGACGTCGAATTTTCTTGTTTTCCTCTGAATTTCCTATTGTGACGGCATGAAAAAAGGCGACCATGCCTGATGACGTCACATAGAAAGAACACATCTTTTTTGCAGATCATTCGAAAAGAAGGAATAAATGTGCCTGCGTATTGTTTGAAAATCATTAGAGAAACAGATTCCACCACCAAATCTCGTGTAATACGATATTTATCCACTCTCGACAGTTAAATTTTAAATATTTAAAACGCTCGGCGAGCCTCGCGTTTTAAATTTGAAAATTTAACTGTCTCGAGTGGATAAATATCGTATCACACTCGATGCAGTGGTAGAATCTATATTTCTCTAATTCTTCGTCAATTTATCCCTTTCTGCACCCATTGTATAAAAAAAATTTAATCAACGTGTGGTTCGTTTGATCTCAGTTCTTCATTGGTTAAAATCCGATTATGACGTCGAATTTTCTTGCTTTCCTCTGAATTTCCTATTGTGACGGCATGAAAAAAGGCGACCATGCCTGATGACGTCACATAGAAAGAACACATCTTTTTTGCAGATCATTCGAAAAGAAGGAATAAATGTGCCTGCGTATTGTTTGAAAATCATTAGAGAAACAGATTCCACCACCAAATCTCGTGTAATACGATATTTATCCACTCTCGACAGTTAAATTTTAAATATTTAAAACGCTCGGCGAGCCTCGCGTTTTAAATTTGAAAATTTAACTGTCTCGAGTGGATAAATATCGTATCACACTCGATGCAGTGGTAGAATCTATATTTCTCTAATTCTTCGTCAA